GCAACTAAAGTACAATCCAAAATAACAAAAGAGATTCAAAACCATAAAACATTCATGAAATTCTGTCTTAAGAAATAACACTTTTTACTCCTTGACTCTCCGATTTGACCGACCACCTTGCGTAGAAGCTTCATCTTCACTAACAGATTCAGTATCAATTTTCATCTTTCCATATTCCCACAAGTAATGCTCCAAATCTCAACAGAAGATTTTCAGCATTTACACCCGACATAGATATGTTCATATCTCCACGACACACATATTCAGCAAAAACACAGGTATACAGATCACAATTCCTACAAATATTACCCAATCAGCATAATTAGTACAATACATAGTATAATCAACCACAAAAAAGACACATTATACTTTTACGTGGAGTCTTTTCCATCGAAAATTGATAAATTTTTTGGTTAGTTGGATTGTGAATCGTTTATGTGAAGAAGATTAAAGGTTAAGAAAAATGAAGAAGAATATGGAAGAGAAACCCTTTTGACTTCCCAAAATATTTTCAAGATTTCTTGAAACTATAACTCCACATTGATAAGTACACCCCTTTCTTGGTAAAAAAACAGCTTTATCAAAAAAGGAATAAACTAATTATGATCCCCAAAAGGTCCACTAAGCCTAAAAAAGGGGAAAAAATAAAAGTAATGAATCGTGTGTATTTGAAACTGTTTAGGAGAGAGAATATTTGGTAAATATTAATATCCTAATTATACTCCATATAAAAGGCACGAAATACTAATAGTATGAGAGAAGAAAAATCTAGTAAAACAAAATTAAAATAAATACAAAAATTAAATGTTTTGTTATGTATGTAATTTAAAAACTTAGTTTGTAATTAAATATAAGTATATTGATATTTTGTTAATAAAAGTCTTAAGTAGTATATTTTTGTAATTTTCCCTATTTGTTTTGGTTGATTTGTTTGCTACCCAAGATGATATTAGTTCTTGCATTATGTCTTCTCTTGGTTCAAATAGAAGGAGAAACTTTAGATTGAGTTTCCTTCCGCCACCTTTGTTTGTGCTTGCCTTTCACGACATATGAATAATTATGTATTGATTTGATTGTACCTTGCTATATGAATAATTAAATTTCGCATAACAATTCCTATATTACTTATAATACTGCGGATATTTGGTGAAGAGAGGTCATATTTAAGACATAAACACTTCAACAAATTAAAAGAGATATTTAGTGGCAATAAATATTTCTTTTAACGACATTACTTATTGTTACAAAACTTCTAGCGACAATATAATTGAGTTAACGTCACTATAGTCAGAATCAATAAAGCCTTTAATGGTATCTATACAGTGTACTGATCATAAATATCTATATTATATTATTGATGTTAAATATAATATAGCTACAATTATAATATTATTACCACAAATTAATCAAGATAAAATATTTAAGAACTTTCAAATTAATATTTTATTTAGAAACGTGTAAATAAAAAGCACAAGAAGTACTTTGATGTGTTATCTCTATCTTGATGACATTGGACACTACCGCAAATAGTATTAAGAAAAAAACAATTAATTATTAAGAAATGATAATTACTTAATTAATGATGATAATGAAGAACTTCCTTATGTCCAACATAATTTCATTGAACTTATAATTACATATAATGTTCCTATATGTTTGTTTTCTTTAGCAAAACATGTGACACGTAGTTAATTTCATTTTGTAGATAAGATAAAAAAGAAATTATGGGAACAAGCAAAGATTGGAATAACTAATATAACATCTTTTATTGTGACATTTTCAAGTTAGTTAAGTGAGGGTAATAACTTCTCCTAGAAAGCTTAAAGTTAAATAACATAGGTCACACACATCATAGCTAGAGTACAAGTTATAAGTTTGATCGAATAGAGTAATTTTAGTTCAATTTTTGTAATTGTCTCAAAATGTTATTGAACATATGTTTAAATTATGAAATTAAAATTCAATAACTTAATAAAAAGAGTAGAATTGTGAATCAATAAACTTCAAATTTTGGATATCTACAAAAACTCAATTTCTACCCGGGAGGAGTCTAGATTATAAGAGATAGGATGCTATAAGTTTGTTCAGAATAGAATTGGGACTGTTTGTCTGGTTCTTTTTATGAACCATAATGTCTACTTTGATAATAAATAAAATCTTTATTTACCAAAAAAAAAAAAACTTCAAATTTTGGACCAAAACGCAAAGCCAACCTTAATTTTATGAGTTCGACAGAGCAAAATAACTTTTGTTTGTTCAGTTTATTGTTATTAATAAATTATGTACTAGAGTCAACCAAAAACGTATTTGTTAGGCCAAATATTAAATTCGAGGAATGGAACAAAACATTAGAATTAAATTTAAGAACCAAGTTCATATATTCGTCACCTGTGTCCATTTTGGACAAAATTACCATTTATTAGGAGTTAGGTTCTTTATTATTATGTGAAACATAATGTTATTTTATTAATATTCTGCTAATCTGTTAAGAAAATAAATATCTTACCTAATTTTAGCTTAAAGGTCAGTTAAAAGAGGTAAAAATTGTCCAAAAGCATATATATAAAGGGGTCTAATTTCCTTATGCCTATAGACTCTTTTATATAGTCTTGGACATTCCTCATATTGGGATAGTTTTCCGACTCGAGTTAAGTCTAAGATCAATTTTCTTAATGTGATATAAATGTTTGGTTCGAATAAATTCATAGTTACTCAATATTGAGTCCGTATCTTATATTGTCCACGCTTCAGATGTTCAATCCTGAGCGTGTAGAAAGTGTTTGGAAGGGTATTATCGATCTCTTTATATGGTCTTGATTAATTCTTTATCTCTTGAACTACTAATTAAAATTCGAGTTAAATCAAAATTCATTTTCTTAACAATATCCTTATTTCATTTTGTTAAAATTTCAAATCCTCGAATATGAAGTTAGATTTTGACACAACAAAATTACTCCAATAAAGTCTGAATCCAACCTTGTACAATTTGGCTGAAAAAATAATTTTAGCCCATTGGGTTTGGGGAATTCTAATGTAGCTTTGAAGCCCAAGTTATGTAAATATGTAAATTGAAGCAAGTTTTTATATATGATATTTTATTGGGAAAATTACGCGGTTAAGCAAACTTATACTACTTAATTACTCATCATAGCTATAGTTTACTGTAATTACCACTCACGACTAACATTATACATTAATTACATGGGCTGACTTCGAGTTTGTATAATTAGTCACGTTTGTATATATATAATTCGCCTGAATATACAAATACATATGTATAATAGTATACAATTATCTAACCGATATACACAATTCACCTCTCTCTCGCTCGTTTTTCGGTTTGGATCGGTTTTTATCCAAACCGTGAACACCCCTAGATATACATATACAATTCACCTCTCTCCCACTCTTTGCCCTCTCTCGCTCGCCTCTCACCTTTCTCTCCCAATCTCGCTCGCCTCTCTCCTCCCTCTCCCAATCTCGCTTGCCATATATACAAATACATATGTATAATATACAATTATCTAACCGATATACATATACAATTCACCTCTCTCTCACTCTTTGCCCTCTCTCGCTCGCCTCTCTCCTCCCTATGACATGTAACTATGAATTGTAATTATCAAACTATAGCTATGGAGAATAATTAGGCTATTTTTGAGTGGCTATATGTGAAAGTTCCTCTTTTTAATTAATGTAGCTTAATATGTAATAGTAAATCTATTATATCCTTATAAATTATCAACAAATGTAATAAACTAACTTATAGATAACTTGCTATGCCAATTATGGATAATTGGATATACTAAAAATCAAAAGAGAACTTGTCTATGTTTTACAACTTAAATCTCCTAATTTCAGTTGAAGTCATATGAACTCAATATGTTAAACATAACATATAAATTTATACATAAAAATTAATTATACTTGTTATATATGTAAATTCAAATCCATAACTTTAAATATATAATGAAATCATCTCTCGGACATGTTGATGAGCTTTTGAATAATTCGATATGAGCAAACTCTAAAACATCATATCGTCTATAATGATTCATCCCTAGTGCCTTTGAACTAACGGAAAGGCCTCTCTTCAACTCCCTACAAGGTTCGAATTGCCAACCAACTCTTTTTGATTATGAGTCATTCAAGCCTAAATATTTCAAATGTCGTTTTCTGAAATTCTGGACACGCCTCATTGAAATTTGTTGGGAGTATAAATTAGAGTTGGACTCTGCCTCCACCAATTTCAAATTCTTGATTAGCCTCCAAATAGTGTCACTCAAAGTTCGAAGAGCTGGAAGAAGTAGAAGAAAGACTCGTTTCACTGGTTCAAAAATGTCCAAATCTGAGAATCCTTCAACAAATCCATGGCCATATAATCACTCATTCGTTGCTTCCATCTTCAACAATCTCCTTCATTCTCTCAAAAGTTCTCACTTTTGCAGCTCTTTCACCCAATGGCAGCCTCAATTACGCCAAACGGGTACTTACCCAAATCCCAAATCCTAGTATATTTTCATATAATTCTCTCATTAGAGGTTTTCTTGAATCCCATATCGCTTCTAACGAACCCCTTTTCATATTCAAGAAATTGCTCAAGAGAAATTACCCGAAAACGAATAGTTTTACTTTGGCGTTTGTGTTGAAGTCGTGTTCTATTTTGGCGGCGTTTGATGAGGGGCAACAAGTGCATAAACATGTTGTTCAATCTGGGTTTGGATCGAGTCCCTTTGTTCAGACTTCGTTGTTGAATGTATATGCGAAATGTGAGGAAATTGGGTTGGCGGAGAAGGTGTTTGATGAAATTCCTGACAGAAATGTGGTTGCTTGGAGTGCAATGATTAGTGGGTATTCAAAACTTGGGATGGTTAATGAGTCTTTTAGTTTGTTTAGGGAAATGCAGAAGACAGGTGTTTTGCCTGATAAGGTTACAATGGTGAGTGTGATTTCGGCATGTGCTATGTCTGGGGCGTTAGATTTGGGGAGGTGGGTGCACGCGTATATCGACAAGCAATCGATTGAGAATGATCTTGAGCTTAGTACTGCGCTTGTTAATATGTATGCAAAGTGTGGATACATTGAAAAGGCAATTGAAGTATTCGAAGCAATGCCTTTTAAAGATGCAAAGGCTTGGAGCTCAATGATAGTTGGCTTGGCAGTAAATGGGCTCGCGGAATATGCACTGGTGACCTTTTCCAGGATGAAGAAAGCTAAGGTAATGCAATGATTATGAACAATGCTGTAAGATGCAATTTTTCTTGCTAAATCGTATGAAAGTTATCATCTTGACGCACATATAACTTTTAAGGAGCACATGACTTTGATCTTATTAGGCTTGGTGTTGAATGTTTGCGTAAAATCAGTTGATTAGAGATGTAGTATTTTGTCTATTTACTATAACCGATCATTGAATGGTAAAACTTTGATGTACTGACTATTAGCAACTTATCTGTAATCTATTTTTGAATTTTGCTTTCAGGTAGAACCTAACCATGTGACACTAGTTGGGGTTCTTATGGCATGTGCTCATAGTGGACTAGTTTCTGAAGGGAAAAGGTATTGGACACGCATGATTGAGTCTGGGATTGAGCCATCTTTAGAGCACTATGGCTGCATGGTAGATTTGTTGAGCCGCTCAAACTTAATTGATGAAGCTTATTCATTCGTTGAATCTATGCCACTTGCCCCATGTCCTGCAATATTGCGTACATTACTTGTTGGGTGCAAAAAGAACAAAATCTTGGGCAAAGGTGAAATTCTAGGTCAGCATCTCATTGAATTAGAACCGTGGAATGCAGAGAACTATATCCTACTCTCTAGTCTGTATGCATCAGTATCAGACTGGGAGAAAATGCGGTACGTGAGGAAACAGATGAAAGACAAAGGTATTAAGGCTATGCCAGGATGCAGTTCCATTGAAGTTGATGGTGTTGTGCACAAGTTTGTGATGGGTGATTGGTCACACCCTGAAGCAGAGGAGATCAAAGAGTTCCTAAGGGATATATCTCAAAGGGTATACTCTGCAGGACATGAACCTTGGATTGCTCCTATTCTGCATAATGTGAGTGATGAAGAGAAGGAGATTGCACTTTGTGAGCACAGTGAAAGGTTAGCTATTGCTTTTGGCCTTTTGAAGACAAAAGCACCTACAGTGATTAGGATAGTGAAGAACCTTAGGGTTTGTAGGGATTGCCATGAAGTGACGAAGATAATTAGTAGAATATATAACAGAGAGATAATTGTTAGGGACAGAGTTAGGTTTCACAGATTTGTAAACGGAGCTTGTTCTTGCAGAGATTTTTGGTAAATAGCATTCCATTGATAATATAATGCAAAGACCCTACTTCAGGAATTGTCTCTTTTTTCCTTTGGTTTTGGACAGGGGAAGGAGGGGTTGAGACTTGTAATAAGAGAGTAAAGCCAGAGAGCTATGTTGTCGGACTCTTCAAAATTGTCGAGTGGTGCATGTTGGATCCTCCCAAAGTAGTGCATTTTTGGAGGATCAGATACAATTGCTTTTTGGAGAGTCCAAACAACGAAGCCAGAGAGATCTTAAAAGACATAGTAAGGGCTGAATTTATTAGATAAAGGCTAGATGGAAGAGGGCAAATGTGGGAATGATATTAGATGCTACAATCCAGATAGCTTTACTATAGAGAAAGAACTAATTTTCCCTGAGGAGACCTAATCAGCCTCATTTTCCGACTCACATTTCTCTTGCACAATACAAAAGCTTTTATCCAATATTTGGTCTAACCAATGATTAGGTTCATTTGAGTTTGAAATATTACTATATGATTATTCTGTTAAATGTCATTTGTATATCTCCTCTTTTGGAACTGGTATATAGTCATGGTCAGCAATCCAGATTCGTTGCCGAGGTTAAAGTCAGTGTCTGCGCCATCAACTGAGCATTTCAGCAGGCACTGGGAAGTGTAAACACCAAAGCAACCACATCCCCTGACCTTAAATGAGATTGTTGCTTGTTGGAAGACGGGATTTCGCTCAGAAAAGTCCCCACTTCTGAGGTATTATCTCTATCCATGTTCTTTGTTTCGAAGAACTATTCAGGTGAACTTCATATTGATCAACTGCTTGAACATTATCTTGTAATCCAAGTGGAGAAAAAAAAGATGTTTATTGTCATTTCCTGCAAATCAAGGAATTATTTACTGTCTCAGTAAGATGTGTTATTTGCTTAATAAGTTAAAACACAAAGGAAAAGGTGGTAAGCTCAATCTTTAGCAAAAGCTCACCTTGAAGTAATCAAAGTTGGTAAACAGGTTTAGTGTGACCCCAAGAAATGAGAGGAATGCTGGGTTGGGCTCTTCTCAATTTTAGTCCATAATGGTTTACCTTTCCTTCTTTGAGCCGAGGGTCTATAGGAAGCAACCTTTCTACTTAGACAAATAGCGGATTATATATAAAATCATATATTGTCATAGGGGTACTTTAGGCACATACTTTACAAAATATCTTCATCTCTAGTATGTACTCAAGGATGTGGCTTAGTGATCAATGAAGTGATTGAAAATCATGAGGTCTAATGTTCAAATTCTAGCGGAAACAAAAAAATTTGTATGTGCTTTCTTCTCATTTGTTTAAGTCTTCGTGAACAGAGTTATTCAGTACTTGTGCTAGTGAGAGGTAATATGTATCTTCTATAATTAGTTGAGGTGTGTCCAAGATAATCTTGATTCTTGACCATCATTATATAAAATAAAAAAGCATGCCCATTTCTCAACCAACAAAGTATATACAAAAAGTAATGGCCTACAAGATGATAGAAGGGTAAAAACCCTACATGTCTGAAATAGGTTAGGATATGTTTGTTGTTTTGTGAATAAAAAAATTAAAAAAAGAAAGGAAAAAGGGAGGGTGCTAACAATTTTGATAAATCCATCTTTCATCAAATTAAAATTCAGGAAAATTATATCACTAAGAATTTTCTTGATCAAGTTTACGCGTTAATTTTCTATGATGACATCATCCCCCTCCCCCGTTTGAGCTTTGGATCAACAATAAAGTTATCTACATTTAACCTATAAATCACGAGTTCAAGCCGTGAAATCATTTAGTGATGCTTGTATTAGGATAGGCAGCTTACATCAAACCCTCAGGGGTATGACCCTTCCTTAAATCCTACGTGAATGCAGAATGCTTAGCACATCGTAGAGATCGAAATGTAGAAATATTATTAATATGGACAAAATATCAACTTCAAATGTCCACCATCATAAAACATTAGTCACCATGGAGATCACCAACTATAATAAAAAAAAACAACAAAACAATTTTAAAAATATTTAAAACATCCTTTTCATATAATATGTTCCAGTATCATAGTAAACACTTGTTATCTAACTTTGTTACGACAAACAAAATTAAATAATTAATGGACGAATGTCATATTCCACCTTCTTTCTTCCCACTCACATTTACATCACTATATTTGATTGGAAAATTTATAAAATTACAATATAACAAAAAGTAAAAATAAGCTTCTTTGATTTTTCTTAAATGTCTTAATCATTAGTTATTATAATATTATTAGTCCTTTTTTAGTGATTTGATAATGTTGATTATTACGTGTGACGTGGGCATCTTTAAAGCCCTTTAATATTTTATTTATTTAATAGTACATTTAATCCTTCAATTTATTGATAAATTCTATTTTAGTCCGTATGATATCAGACTAAACACATCTTCAATTGTATACTCTTTTTTATCCTTTTGTTGATCGTCGTTTCAGTTCAATTTCCTCACGCCTTATGTTAAGTTTGTATTTGTATACTTCATATTTGATAGGACTAAAAATACATATTTATATTAATTAGAGGTTAAATATGTCGGATACATTTAATCCTTCAATTTATTGATAAATTCTATTTTAGTCCATATGATATCAGACTAAACACATCTTCAATTGTATACTCTTTTTTATCCTTTTGTTGATCGTTGTTTCAGTTCAATTTCCTCACGCCTTATGTTAAGTTTGTATTTGGATACTTCATATTTGATAGGACTAAAAATACATATTTATATTAATTAAAGGTTAAATATGTCGGAATCATATATCATAAAGACTATATCTAAATTTATCAATACCTTAGGGATTCAAAATGATATTATCTCTATTTTATTTGTAATTTATCGTAGACGTGTCAATCTTGTTTGATGAAATTGACGCAAGACAATAGTTTAGTATTAACCAATGAGTGGACTCCACATGGAGATTTTGTTTTATTGTTTATGATTTTGACTGATAAGGTACACGCGTGTTTGAATTCATATGGTTCGATGTCCAATACTCGTATTTGAGATCGATAAAATTCAAATTTGTGCATTACATGACTCATTTACTTGGGTGACACTTCCATTTTTCTTAATGGAAAAAGGACAAATACACCCCCGAATTATCATAAATGGTATGCAAATATTCTCCGTCATATTTTTGGGACATTGGTGCCCATGTCGTCCAATAACTAGAGCATATATATCATTTATACTAATGGATATACACATGTCATAATCTTATCACCCTATATTTATTAAATATCGGATCGACGGATAAAATTATGACACATGTCCCTATTTAGCCTTCCGTTAAAGTGAAGGGCATATATGTTCTAGTTTTTGGACGGCATGAACACTAATATCCCAAAAATATGACGGAGGGTATTTACTTACCATTTATGATAATTCGAAGATATATTTATCCTTTTTCCCTTTCTTAATTTTCAAGAGTTTAAACTCGAAATCTTCTACCATCTTATGGATCGACTACCACCAATCCACCACTACCTACTTTACTATTTTTGTGGGCTCCTCCCATGCAAAATATTTCTGGCCGACACTACTTTGAGCCAAAAGAAGAAAGTGATTTTTACAATTTAAATGGTGGGGAAAAAATCACTGATTTTTTTTTTCTTTTTTAGTTTTTAGAATGTTTGGAAGAGATATCAAATTTATTTAATTTTTACATCCAAACGTCATTTAAAAGTAATTTACTTCTGTCAAAAAAAAATAATAGGATCGTAAATATGTATGAGTTTAATAATATACATAAGCAATTTGAATAGAGACTTGTAATTCAATGTAGGTGAAAAACTTTAATAAGTAGAGAAAATGTGCATGAATATTAAAATTATTGTATATAGTAGTTATTTATCATAGGGAGATAGAATCTCTAAAGATTACACTTCCTATTATGGATTTTTGGCGTATTTAGATTTATTATATGATAAATGTCTCATTAGTGTACTGTAGGTGAAAAACTTTAATAAGTAGAGAAAATGTGTATGAATGTTAAAATTATTGTATATAGTAGTTATTTATCATAGGGAGATAGAATCTCTAAAGATTACACTTCCTATTATGGATTTTTGGCGTATTTAGATTATTATATGATAAATGTCTCATTAGTGTACTCTTGTTTTTAATTTACTTTTTGGAATAATATTTCAAATCGAATGTTAGTTGTTAATTCAGAAACTGCAATTTCAATTACTTTTTAGGGCTTGATTATTTAAAAATTGTATATAATAACAAACTATTAATTCAAATTAAATGTTATAACCACAATTTGATTTAATTGTAATCCGTAGTAAAATGTTGCCATTCGCCTCTCTCCCTGAAATTCTCGCTCGCCACTCTCCCTTTCTCGCTTGCCAGTCTCTCCCTCGCCTCTCTCACTTTATACAAACACAAATGTATAAATTGCGTTTCTGTTTGTATAAAGCGAGAGAAAAATTGTATATACACATGCAAATATATATATCTTCGTCCTATACACTTATAATTATACAATACAAATCTTCTCCTGCCCAGTTCTCTTTTGCCTTTCTCTTTCTCACTTTATGCAAACACAGATTATACAAAATACAATGTATAATTTGTGTTTGTATAAAGCAAGAGAGAGAGATTTGATATACAAACGTTTTATTTCGATTCAATTGTATACAAATTCAAATTTTATGCAGATATACAAACACATAAAATTGAATTGAGAGGCTGCCAACGAATTATACAAACGAGAGGCTGCCAATAATTCATACAAATGAGAGGCTACCAACGATTTTATACAAATCTGATTCCCCCAGCGATTTATACAATTTGATGCTCCATAGCAAACATAAAGTTTGTTATGGAGCACAATTATGCAAACTGAAGCTATATCATATAAATATAATTTTTATATTTGCTAAATGTGAAAGTTATTTTTTTTAAAAAGTATTTCATGAATTTGATATCAACAAGTATAATTAACGTCCACTTTATAAGAATAAGGTCGCAAGTGATTCTTCTCCTTTTCTTTAAAAAAATTCATTGTCGAAATCAAGTCTTAACGTGAGAAATTCAAATTGAGCCACGTATGCACTTGTTGTGGTATACCCAAATTCCCAAACATTTAAAAAGAGTCAAATGGGACATGGCTATTGGCTACCCATATAGCAATGGAGATATGAAAAATAATTTATTTAATTTAAATTTCTTTAAAAGAAAAGCTAATTATAATAAATATATAGAGTAATTAATTACCTGATAAATATTATACATTGTCATTTATATACTAATAAATAAGCTAAACCACAATAGTTATATTATATTTATTTGTTTTTAAATTATTATTGGACAAAACTTTGACCAAACACACTTACAATCTTAATGCAGAAGAAAGCACCACTAATTTCTTGGATTCTCATAATTCAATTACTGTTCCTACGTGCATGTGTGGCATCATTATTTATCGATCATTTTTTTTTCTCGCTAGTTTCATATCTCAATTATCATTTCATTTGTATTAAAATACAATACATCTTGATGTTGATTGGGAGCCAACTCCCATCATTTTTCTCTTTTGGAGACTCAAACCCCTTAACCTTAAGATCGGATATGAATAATACTTATAATCATATGAACAATTCCTTCCTACTGAAACCTCAAAACCTCACAGTGACCACCGTCTAAATATGTTTTTGACCATTAACTCTCATATTCAATCTATAAAAAAAAAAAAACCATAGTCATCATCTATATCTTTAATTCTTTTCCTCTTTTCACCTTAAATTTTTTTTGTACTTAACCCCACCTCCTCTCCCTTCCACTACTATTACCCCTCAACTCAAATATACACTAAAAACCAAAAAATAAAGTAGAAAAATCTTTGATATGTTGAATAATCAAACACCTAATACCCTAGCAAACACTACTACCAACAACAACAACAACAATACTATAATAGAAAATCATCAACATGATCATCAAGAAGAAGAACAAATCAGAGACATCCATGCTTTAACCCCACCAAGACCTCCATCAAATCGTGGCCGTCGAATCGAAGCTTGGGAAACAAGTAGCCATAGATCATCGTCAATTTCCGAAGTAGCATCTAGCGAGAATTTCTCTACTATGAGCCGGGAATTCAACGCCCTCGTTCTCGCGGGATCGTCGGTTAGCAACAACCACGGAAGCGAGAACGAGGTCAATAATCATATATACAATAACAATAATTATAATAATAATTTGGAGAGCATCGGCGAAAACAATGATGCGCCAATTGAAGAAACAAATCCGTTAGCTATCGTGCCGGACAATTATAGTAATACTTTGGATCCGATTATTATTAATCCTTCTTCGTCTCCGAGAAGAAGGATTAATAATAATTTTTTGAGGAATAATATTGGAGAAGTTAGTAGTGTTCAAAGGGTGAAAAAAGAAGAAGTTGAATCGAAGATAAGTGCATGGCAAAATGCTAAAATTTCGAAGATTAATAATAGGTTTAAACGTGAAGATGTTGTTATTAATGGATGGGAAAGTGAAGAAGTACAAAAAGCTACCTCTTGGATGAAGAAAATTGAGGTACGTTTCATTGATTTTTTGTATTTATTTGTATTATTGTTTGGAAAAAATTATCTTTCTTTCATTGTGCTTTTTATAGAGACGGAGTTGGAATTTATTAGGTTTAAGGGTTCTGGATATTCAATCGAAATTGTAGCTCTGCCTCAGATTCTAACTTTTTTTTTACATTGTGGATGTGTTCGATAGGAAGGAAAATGTTATGATGAAAAATATTTTCTTAGAAAATAATTTTTTGAAAAATAAATATTTTTTTCTCAATTTATTTTTTATGTTTGGTACGTAGCAAAAATATTATTCTAAAACATTTGTATACTATAATCTAGACAAATAATATGGAAGGTGAGCTGGGGTGGAGGCTACGGGAAGATGGGTGAAGATAAGGTGGTGAGGATAAAAATATCATTTGTACTTATTTTCTAATGTAAACATTTTTCAAAAAAATTGAGGTACAAAAACAGCCCGTGTCATGAAAATCTTCTTTATTTTAAATTTCTTCAAGTTTAATTAATTATTCCTTTCCTTCAACGTAGATCTTTCTTTTTTTTTGTCTATAGGAGTTTATTTGACTCTAATTTTAAATTAACTACCACCACAAATTAACTTAGTTTTACCTCTCATGCTTCTTGTATATGCGCTTAATTGTATATTGAATCGATTGAATTATTATCTGACATGAATCTTTATTAATCAAAATTTCGATTTTTATATTATACATCGAATGAAAAGAAGAATAAAAAACAATATTGAGTGGATAATGATGTGCATCATATAGTTAAATTATTAGTGGTTTACATGATTGCTAAAAATCAGGAGCACTCATTTTTTTCCCCTACGATATATTGATTGTGCATGCACATGATTGGTCCAGCGTGACTATGATTAGATATTAAATTAGTCCAATAATAATAATACTAATATTCTAATAATGCAAACCACTTGTTCTTCCCTTGTATGTTGGAAATTCTTAAATTGAACTTTAAAACACCCCTACATATCTATGTAATCTAAATTCTTTCCATAATTATAAATTTCAAATTTCACTTGAATCAAAGTATCAAAATAAATACTAAACATCGAATGAAAATCAAAACAAAAAGTCTCATAAAAAAGTTTTAGTTATAAGCACTTTATATTAAATTTGATGTACCGTTATAACAGGTGAAAAATTACTTTGTTATTCTAGGTTAATTTAACTTGATAGTAATTATAATAATAATAATAATAATAATAATAATATAGAAGTTGTGACTCATTATTTTGAGTGGTTCTTGATGAACTTTTGCCCACATCTTTTTCTAATTCTCTACCTACCTAGACCCTAAAGAAATAGGTTACCTATTGATCAAGTTGTCTATTTTATTTTCCAAGTACTAATTAATTTCCTTAATTACAACTAATTATATATAACTAGAGAAAAATGATATTTATATTAACTTTATATAATATATTTTTTTACGAATGATGTTCAGATAAACCCCTTGCGCCTCTAGCTCTGTCCCAGATATATGAATCTAGAGTGTTCACTAGTAAGGGCGTACCGCGGATGTAATGTATATGTTCATCCAAACTCAATAGATATTTTTTTGGTAGGAAGCGTTTTTCATGAACCTTACGTTAATAAAGTTTAATTTCTCAATCCGTCTCTATTGTTTATCAGAGGAAGCTAGAGGAGAAGAGAGTAAAAGCCCTAGAAAAGATGCAAAATGATATAGCAAAAGCACACAGAAAAGCAGAAGAAAAAAAGGCATCAGCAGAAGCAAAGAGAGGAACAAAAGTTGCAAAAGTTGTTGAAATTTCCAATTTGATGAGAGCTGTTGGCAGAGCTCCACCTAAACGAGCCTTCTTTTAATTAAGGATCGTTAATTTTGTTAGATTGTCTACATCATATTTCTTGGAATGCAGGCCTGAAAAAACGCATGATATTTTGTGCATCAGATAAAAAAGATTGTTAGTATTAGAAAAAATAGTTTGTTGTAATATATGTGTGTGTGTGTGTTTGGAATTAATAGTAGTATGTTAATTAGTCTATAGGAGTCTCCTTTCTATTTTTTAAATGATTGGGCACCCTTATTGACATATAAAAATATTAGTTTGCTAGTTTGTGCTTGAATTATTTAGTTGAATACTTTCTCTCGAGTGTTTTAGAAAATTGTAGTGAGAATTTTGAGTGATTTTGTGTGTTAAACACTTTTGTAATGATTTTTGGGAAATTAAATATATTTTCAATGAGCTTAAGAAGAAGACATATAAATGTACCATTCTATTTCAATTTGATTATTGGGTGCGGCATATTCATGGAATGACAAAGCAAACTCTCAATCCTTTTAATTTCTTGAATTTTGATTAGCGTGGCTTTTTCTCTCGATCGATTTGAATTTTCATTTTTTATTTTAAGTTAACTAGAGTAGTCAGTAGTTAGGCGGATTTCAATGTATACTACATAAGAAATCACCAAAGAAATTAGATGCGCTTAGGATATAGTGTTATTAATGTATGATTATTTCCATTTGTAACCGATATATAGTTACTAGAAAAAGGTGATGATATGCGGTGTTTCAAACTGTCATAATGTTTAAGTAATGCGTATTGTTGGTATAAATAACTTTTACATGAACAAATCGATCATCTTTTGCTATAACATGTAACATATCTTTTTTGACAATTTAAAATCTCATATTTTTGAAGGCTTACAAATAAACATCTTTTGAATGACCTTAAATGCTTAATTACTAACTTAAAAAAAAATGACTCACTTGAAGATTAGGTATACCAATTTGAAGAAAAAAAACATTGATTGATAACAATTGAGAGTGCATTCTCATTTATATATATTATTTATTATGACTTCTTTTTTTCTATACATTCTTTTATTATACAAACTTTTGTTTTAATAATTCTCAATAAATAAAAAAAGGCATTGTTCTTTGTCACTATTGGTAAGCAAACTAGAAATATCACCAAGCCAATTTATTCATTGTAGCAGTTGCTAATTTGTTTTCTACTAATTGTATTTGAGTTCAAATATCACAAAAAGAAAAAGATGGTAGTTCCAACTATCCAATTGTCACACAACTAACAAATTATATTTTTAATAAGATTACTAAAGTTTTTAATCAATAGGTCTTGTCACAAGTCTTAACGATAAAGTGTATTGTAACTTTAGATGTTCATAAGTTTTTACGAATATATCACTAAAATTTGCATAAAAAAATTAGGTACCAACCTGTTTTTGCTTCTCAATTTCAATAACTCCTAATGACTAGATTAAATCTGAACCTTCGAAATTGGACGTGAGAGGTAGTGGTTTACCCTGCAGCGGATGTTAGCAGTTTGAGTCCGCGTATCTCTAACTCGTGAACTTAGCTAATACAAAGATTCACTATCTTTTTTAATAATCAAGCTCACTATGGTAATTGATATATATTGTTGTTTGAGATAAGCCCAAATTAGGCACAGGGCAGCTCACCTTGACTCTTGAGGCCTATGGTATGTTATTTAGTAGCATGAGAGGCCCAAGATATTGATGTACCTATGTCATTACTCGGAAATTATACTTAGTGACGTCTCTAGAGATAAATGATTCTGAACTTCCGACTCTTAAACATTTAAGTTAAAAGTCAAAAGTTATTCAACGTGAAATTTTGCCCATGAAACAAGCAGGATCAAAAAAAATCAAGACAACCTACATACTTCTCTGGTCCACCCCTATTATACAAATTAGTTCAAATTATGTAGTCCATACCTAACAAGGAGGGATTAATTATACACCTAATCTACAAGTGAGATTGCATTCTCATTTATTTATTATGACATTTTATTATCTATATATTTTTTTAGTATTTAAATATTTTGTTCTTATCATGATTAGTAAGCAAATTAGAAAAGAAAAAAATTGTCATGCAAAATTTCATCGTAGCAGTTGCTATTTTGTTTTCTACTTATTGTACTTAGTTTTTGTTGTATTTTCATTGCTTACATTAGCAAAAACTCACTTTCCAATTTTCAACTATTTTCTTGGATAAAAGGGACAACATGAAAGAAGAATAAATTCGTACAAAGTGAGATTTCTGTTCATTACAATTAATCACCTCCAAAATTTTCGGAAACCAAAATCCTAGTGCTCTAATTTCTTGATCAGATAAAGATGCTCGTCTTAAATACGGAGGAAGTTGTGAAACAAGAAGTGGTGCATGAATATTCGTGCATGACACCTAAGGGGAAGAGATTTCGGATACCGGAGAATTCATCGTGCCCATCGGCTCCGAAAAAGAGAAGGCCGGTAGGTGCAACTAATTCATGTGTGTCAAAAAGAAGAAGATTATTAGATGATACGTTAATATTTTCTCCTACTAAGGTCGAAGTCTTTTATGTTTATGCATTTAGGAAAAATAATATTGTCAAAAGCTCAAATGATCTTTTTAACTGAAGAGGATTAATTCCCCCCTTCTTAAATTAGTAAGTGTTCCTCAAACTATATGTACATATATATGTCATGCATTTTCGATTACTATGTTATGAAACTTTTGGTTGTGTTTTTAAGATGATTAATTCCCCTTCAGAGTTAAATTAGTAAGGATTGCTGCTTAATTAAACTATATGTGCATGTCATGCATTTTCGATTTCTAAGTTAAAAGTTCGGGTGAAACCCTAGCTATCCTTAAGATCCACCTTTGTTTGGGTCTAAATATGACTTGAATAGCTTCATTTTATAGTACGAATGGTCCCTAAGCCCATCAATGGTTGTAATCATGGATATATTCAGAAGATGGGCTTTTAGCCTCGTTATCTTGTTTCTCAAATATCATAAATTTTGCAATTTTACCTCGAGAAAAGGTTTAAATATGTCATCAAACTTTGAGAAATTACATATTTATATCATCTATTAAAAATTGAGCTCATTTATGTTAATATCTGTCACGACCCAAAAATGGATGTGATGGCACTCGTCGTATCCCACCAAGACAAGTCAGCCTAAAACCCAATCATTTCTATAAAGTGCGGAAATAAAGCAAAGTTCAATAACAATTACTATTGCGAAAACAAGTCAACTTAATTCAATCCCCAAAACCTGGTGGTCACGTGCACAAGCCTCTAATGTAAATACTAGAATTGAAATAAAATACGCAAGTCTCAAATGATGTTGTCTTTCAAGTAAAAACAAAATCATAAACAGGAGTAAGGAGGTTCGCTGAGATGACAAACAGCTACCTCTCAGATCTCCACAGAAAGCCTCGGAAACGAAGAGAATGGAAGGTATCACGAAGATCCGGGCTCGTAACCTACAAAAGATTGTAGAAGCAAGGGGTGAGTACCAAACCACACGGTACTCAACAAGCAAACCTCTAAACACAAGTTAAGGGT